TGCACAACCAACCACTCTTTTTTGGTGTCCTGGAGACACTGAATCTACCGGTGCCCTCCTCAACACTCAGTGATAAACATTCGCGACGCTCTAAACGAAAGCGTACATCATCACATGTGGAGCTAAGAAGCTAAACACGTAAATATGGCTTACCTTGGTCAAAAGTGGTCTTCAATGGCATTAAAACGATAAAAAAACGATGCTGCAGTTAATCCATAGGTTCATCCTATGTGTCTGTGCCTTCTTTGAAATTATTTCTGATAATCCATAAGCAATACAACTGCGTTTTAGTTTCCAAACTCCAGAAGGAGACATTCCTCCAGTTTGGTTTCGTTTTCCACACGCGAAGCAACCACATTTTTTCTTTACAACGTGTCTGGGTGGGAGCCTCCCCCTTCGATTCTATTGGCTCTAACGGTCACAAGGGTATGTCAACCAACCAAATCGAGCAAGGGGGGCCAGAGATAGGTCAAATCCACCCAAATGACCCCAGATGGCCCAGTCTTTGGCTAAATCTCTCTAAAAAGGTCAAATTTCACTTGTTTTGCATCAATCTTGATACAGGGTACTAATTATATGTTGTACTTTGGATTCCTAAAGCTTTTAGTCTACTAACCCATCATCCAAGGGTAGTTTTCACTATCTGTAAAAAATAATTTTTGGACGGACACTATAATTTACAGTTTTTTACTATGTAAAATCTGAATTTTCTTTAAAATAAAAAACATTTATATTGATTCTGACACTTCTACATCCAACTCACAGGTTTATCATTACTTTGAGAACAAAGATTATTAATTTAACCCTTTTAGAAGGGAAGATATGGTCATTTGTTCTGGGAATGTCATTTTCGAGCCTGAGACCTGAAAAACAGGCTCAGAGTGGAACAGGTTAAGGTCTGAAGGTGTTCGGCATATACAGCGCGCTCCCTAGCTGCCTGCGGCGCAGTCCATGGAGCCCTGTTCCAAAGCCTCGCGCCACAGGATAAGTTTGCCCATAAACCCCCGAATCTTGTCTGTGGATGATAAAATGTTTTCATTCCTGCCCTGAAGCTTGGCGTTTAACTCGTTGAGATGCCCAAATATGTCTGCGAGGTAAGCCAGCCTGGCGCACCACCTCTCCGCCTCTGTATTATGAAATGAGTGCATACAAAGTACTGATATAGTAAATTAAAAAATAATTATTTTTGTGTAGTTGTATATTGCAATAATAACGTATGGTTGTCACAAAATCCCACGGCACACCCGGACTTGCCTCACGGCACACCAGTGTGCCGCGGCACACCGTTTGGGAACCACTGCTCTAGAGCATACATTTGTTGAACACACCTCTTGTTATTGCATTTTAATACTTTAAATACGTTTTATTAATATTTTGATGGAAACATTTGCATATTTCTTCAATAACTTCTAGATCATGTGACCTAATCACTCAAAATCAGTGCTGGGTCAAAGAACTACACTGGCTGCATAGGACACACCTCTTTTTATTGTATTTTAATACTCTAAATATTTTATATCAATATTTTTGATGGAAAAATTAGCTTATTTCTTCAATACCTTCCAGGTCATGTGACCTAATCACTCAAAATCAATGCTGGGTCAAAGAACTACACTGGCTGCATAGGACACACCTCTTTTTATTGCATTTTAATACTCTAAATATTTTATATCAATATTTTTGATGGAAAAATTAGCTTATTTCTTCAATACCTTCCAGGTCATGTGACCTAATCACTCAAAATCAATGCTGGGTCAAAGAACTACACATGCTGCATAGGACACACCTCTTTTTATTGCATTTTAATACTTTAAATATTTTATATTAATATTTTGATGGAAAAATTAGCTTATTTCTTCAATAACTTCCAGGTCATGTGGACAGGTCATTACTCCCTCTCCTTCTGTTCCCAAAATACCAACCACACTCCATTCCCTCTCTGCCTCTAAAATGTTATCCTTTAGTTTTTCTCTTTCAGCTTTAAAGATGTCTCTCATATCTATTTTAGCTTCTGGGAAAAGCCATGGAGGAACACTACTAAATGGGCTTGCTTTGGCAAACGTGATGGTCTCCACTCCATATGCCCTCGTTCTTTCCTTACTTGTCCAGCCAAACACACGTCCCTGGGCTTCTATGTCACATGACAGAGAAGCTGTTAAAACAAAATTGAGTGTGACATTCGGTCACATGACAGAGAAGCTATTGAAAAAATAAACTGAATTTTCCATACAAAAATGTATTAATATTAACCCTTGTATAGTGTTTCATTATTTATCTAAAGAAAAATGATATGATACATTATTTGTTCAAACTCACACTCAATGGCGTTGGCTAATTTTCTGTGAAGAACATATATCAGAACACCCCCCCTACACATTTATATTACATACAGGATGTTCGGGGCTAACACAAGTGTGGAAATTGTGTGTGTGTGTGTGTGTGTGTGTGTGTGTTATCACAACTGATCAAGATGGCCAAATGATTCTATGCTCAGAGGGCCTTACAAATGATTTTGGAAGAGAGAGAACCATTTGATGATGATGTAGAGGAAGAGGAAGGTGTTTCAGAATGTGAGGATCACATTTCTGAGATTTCTGAGTCTGACAGTGACTTTGAAGAACAGGATTAGATTGAGCATCAGCTAGTTACAAAAAAAAGATGAGCCACAGGACCAGCCGGTCAGCGGGCAAAACAACAAGTACTTTAATTCATTAATCAAGGTTCAAGGTTTTTATTTGTCATACGAACATAGCTACAGTGTAGTTATGACGATGAAAATCTTAGCTCACAGGCTTCTCCAACAGTGCAACACAATAACACAGATAAACAGAAAAATATAGTGCAAGTAAATAGTAAATAGAAAAAGAAAAATAGTTTAAAAAAGTGAAATAGTGCAATAAGAGTCTATATGCAAGTTATTGGAATGATATATTAGAGAAATAGATAAATAATTACTAAGTAGCAGATGAATGTTATGGATGTTGTTTCAATAGTTCAGGTGTTTAACAGATGTTGTTTCAGCAGTTCAGTTGTTTATCAGTCTTATTGCTTGTGGTATGAAACTGTCCCTGAGTCTGGTGGTTTTAGTCCGGATGCTGCGGTAACGCCTGCCAGACGGCAGCAGACAGAACAGTTTGTGGCTGGGGTGATGGGGGTCTTTGATAATCCTGTAGAAGGTCAGGATCCTCTCTATGGTGCACCTGTAGAAGTTGCAGAGTATCCTGGAGTCCATGTTGAACCTCCTCAGCCTGCGGAGGAAGAAGAGCCGCTGTCAAGCTTTTTTGGTGATGGTGGTAGTGTGAAGAGTCATGTCAGGTCCTCAGTGATGTGGACCCCAAGGAACCTGAAGCTGCTGACTCTCTCCACCGTAGTCCCATTGATGGCGATGGGGGCGTGACCCTCTCTCTGCTGCTTCATGTAGTCCACAATCAGCTCTTTGGTTTTGCTGACGTTGAGATGGAGATTGTGATCCTGGCAGCAAGTGTAGTTATTTGACCCAGCACTGATTTTGAGTGAATCGGTCACATGACCTGGAAGTTATTGAAGAAATAAGCTAATTTTTCCATCAAAATATTAATATAAAATATTTAAAGTATTAAAATGCAATAAAAATAGGTGTGTCCTATGCAACCAGTGTAGTTCTTTGAGCCAGCACTGATTTTGAGTGAATCGGTCACATGACCTGGAAGTTATTGAAGAAATAAGCTAATTTTTCCATCAAAAATATTAATATAAAATATTTAGAGTATTAAAATGGAATAAAAAGAGGTGTGTCCTACGCAGCCAGTGTAGTTCTTTGAGCCAGCATAGATTTTGAGTGATTAGGTCACATGACCTGGAAAGTATTGAAGAAATAAGCTCATTTTTCCATCAAAAATATTAATATAAAATATTTAGAGTATTACAATGGAATAAAAAGAGGTGTGTCCTATGCAGCTAGTGTAGTTATTTGATCCAGCACTGATTTTGTATGATTAGGTCACATGACCTGGAAGGTATTGAGGCAATATGCTCATTTTCACATACAAATATTAATATAAAAATATTTAGAGTATTACAATGGAATAAAAAGAGGTGTGTCCTATGCAGCTAGTGTAGTTATTTGAGCCAGCACTGATTTTGAGTGAATCGGTCACATGACCTGGAAGGTATTGAAGAAATAAGCTAATTTTTCCATCAAAGATATTAATATAAAAATATTTAGAGTATTAAAATGGAATAAAAAGAGGTGTGTCCTATGCAGCCAGGGTAGTTCTTTGAGCCAGCATAGATTTTGAGTGATTAGGTCACATGACCTGGAAGGTATTGAAGCAATAAGCTAATTTTTCCATCAAAAATATTAATATAAAATATTTAGAGTATTAAAATGGAATAAAAAGAGGTGTGTCCTATGCAGCAAGTGTAGTTATTTGATCCAGCACTGATTTTGAGTCATTATGTCACATTACCTAGCAGTTATTGAAGAAATATGCAAATGTTTCCATCAAAAATATTAATAAAACGTATTTAAAGTATTAAAATGCAATAAAAAGAGGTGTGTTCAATAAATGTATGCTCTAGAGTGAATTTGCTTCACATTCATACGATCGAGAAGCTGTCGATTTATTAAAAAGAACATTTTTCTTGTGTAATTGTAAAAGTCATTTGTCCCTAAGTGAAAGCCTCGTTTCGCGGAGAAGATCTCCCCGTTAAACTGACGCTGCTGGCGGGTCCGGGAAACTGACGCTGCTGGCGGGTCCGCGAATGTCTGTCGAATATCCAACCTAAAACTAAATTCACCGCGGTTGTTCACCGGAGGTGGGTTTAGTTTCCTGCACGCCTCGACGTAAGAGAGACGTAAGCAACGCCGCCTCTTAGCTCCGAAGCTCTTGCCTCTCTAGACCGACAATTTTTTGGAGCTGGAAGTGAACCGCATTCCGGATCTATGAGGCGGCGCCGCTGCGGTGTGAAAGGGGCAGAGAAATCAATATCATAAAATAAACAGTAATGGTCCCACCAACCTGATCTGTGAGATATAAGGCAGACACTGCAGCAAAGTCCTCAGTTCACTCTCTTCATCTGAGCAGCCTCTCAGCTTCACTTGTTTCTTCTCTGGTTGGAGTCTCAGCACTTCCAGCAGGATGGAGGTCTCTCTCTCTGAGAGGTCTATGGTCCAGACTGCAGGAGCTAACTGGAGAACTGACTGTAATGATGGAAGGACACTCAGGCCTGTTTCAGTCTCATAGTCCTTCAGGTGGGAGTACAGATCCAGCAGGAAACCACCCTGATCTTCTTCTTCATTATCATCATATATGTCAGTAAAAGGGAATGATGGATATGTGCACACTGATGATAACAGCTCCAGTGTCTTCTCTCCTGTCTGCTGTTCTCTCTCTGCTGCTGCACAGAACAGAGTCCCAAAGAACTGGAGTTCACCTGAGTCTCCAATCCAGAAACTGGAACGAGAATTGAACAGTTTGTTATCAGATGATGTCAACAGCAGAGAAAGACTCTGATAGGGAGTGTTTCTGCTAAATGTCTACAAATACCTGCCATTGAGCATAACACAGTAAACTCAATTAACCTCATATTGAAGTAACTATGCTGTTAACAGGATTATATTTGGATTTTGAAAGCTTTCAGTAAATGAACCTTTTCACAACATGTGTCATCACTTAGCTCTTCTACTGACTCACAACACAGACACTAATCCTGTTCCTCAAATCACTTCTTATTTGCTTCCCAGTGATTCTGTTCACCTGAGGGGATTTTACTTTGTGAATACGTTTTGTATGTAAAATGATATTCCCAATATAATAATGTAAAAAGTGGAACAACAACATCTAGAGTCACTATCATGTAGCAGAGAACATCACATCATGAAACTGTTCACTTTGCTCCTGAGATAATACACATGTGAATTAGAGTTTCGTGACACCTCCTCTGTCTCTGATGACTTTAAGTTAGGATTGTTCAAGTGTCTGAAATCTTTATTTAAAGCTCACTATACAGTCTTTAGAAGTTTCATTAGTGTCAGTCAAGTTCCATCTAGTATCCATTAAAGAGGTAGATGAATGTAGTATTACTTGTTCCTTTATAATTTTAATTGCACTTTGATTAAATTAAAAGAGATGCAACCTCTTCTATCTGCAATAACATTTGTTTTTGTTACAACTGATTATTGATAAGCTGCAGAGATGATTTAAAATGCTGATAGCATTTTTATCAGCAAGTTTATTTATGTTTTGATGTGTTTTTATTTCTGAATGGGGCATGAGGATGACAGTGTTTCTGTCTCAGAGCTTAAGTTCTCTCATTATAATTCACATAATTTCGTTATTCTCAAACAGGTAGAAGACTGTGGTTTTAAATAATGACTGAACTGGGAAATGTTATTCATCTACATCATGTTCAGAAGTGAACGACGATTGTCTCTTTCTGAAACACTGCCCACAATCAGATGTAATTCATTGTTTTATTTCTTAAGAAATCCACATTATATCATAAAATATGGATGAATTAGTCTAAGTGCATGTCTGTTATTCAACATGATAAAGCATTGATCTGTCTGTTGTGCTAATTACTAAACTGAAAAATCTGATTTATCTACAGAATATCCATTTATACATTTCAGTTAATCAATTCAATTCAATGTACTGTGGATTTGTTAGATCTTTCTAACAAAGCTTTCTGAGGAATCCATTTCATATTATAAATATAGAGTATGACTGACCTGAGCTGTGAGATATAAGGCAGACACTGCAGCAAAGTCCTCACTTCACTCTCTTCATCTGAGCAGCCTCTCAGCTCCACTTGTTTCTTCTCTGGTTGGAGTCTCAGCACTTCCAGCAGGATGGAGCTGTTTCTCTGTGAGAGGTCTATGGTCCAGACTTCAGGAGCTGACTGGAGAACTAACTGTAATGATGGAAGGACACTCAGACCTGATTCAGTCTCATAGTCCTTCAGGTGGGAGTACAGATCCAGCAGGTAATCACACTGAGGGTTCCTCTTAAAATAATAAGAAACTATGTCGGTTAAAGTTATTGTTTGATAGGTGCACACTGATAACAACAGCTGCAGTGTCTTCTCTCCTGTCGGCTGCTCTCTCTTTGCTGCTGCACAGAACAGAGTCCCAAAGAACTGGAGTTCACCTGAAGGATCTGATAACTGAGTCACAAAACTGAAAACATAAGGAATCAAGAGATTGTGATGTTAGGTTTCTATCAAATACAAACTTTTCTCCATCAGCTGTGGTTTAAATTATGTTAAATTGAATCTGCATGCACCAAGATTCAAAATAAATGAAGCAGCTTATTTTGAAAAAGATGACCATTTACCTGATCTGTGAGATATAAGGCAGACACTGCAGCAAAGTCCTCACTTCACTCTCTTCATCTGAGCAGCCTCTCAGCTCCACTTGTTTCTTCTCTGGTTGGAGTCTCAGCACTTCCAGCAGGATGGAGCTCTTTCTCTTTGAGAGGTCTATGGTCCAGACTGCAGGAGATGACTGGAAAAATGGCTTCAGTTTTTGAATGACAGCTGAACTCTCTTGAGTTTTTAGATGTTGATACAAATCCAGAAGGATGTTATACATCTCAGTGTTAAAAGAAAACAGAGAGATGAGGTTGTTAACTTCATTTTGAGAGCTTTCTCCTTGAATGTGATTAGCTGCTCTCAGGCATAAATCCAGAAACAGCTGCTTTTCTTCTCTCTTCAGTGTCTCATAGCATCGCTCCTGGTCCTGTAATCCTGGACCTCTGTTGGTCCTCCTGAAGCTGCATGATAACAAACACATGTGTCATTGCATGTACTATAGAACTGTATAAACTTTACATGTAAAACAAAGTTACACCTGTTAATACTGTCCTAATGTTAAGTATGAAATTGCAATATTTAATTCTCCACAGCTTTTGAAGAATTTGAGAGAGTATGAAACCTATTCAAATGTTTAGATCCTATGTTGTTTTACTACCATTTCCGCTATTTTACTAAAGGATCATAAAACCATTTTTTCTGTTAAATTGGCATGTGAATTGTTTTTACCCTCAAAGAACCGAAATCCAGAACTAAAACCGAACCGGAATCCAAACGATCCCAACCCTAAGTATTACACATTTTTAATGATTCCACTGTGAAGGTGATTCGTCACTTTATTATGCATTTAATTTTGTTAAATAAGAAGTTGTAGTTTTATAAATGATAATGTTTAAATAAATTCCAGTGAAGTTTGGAAGCTAAAGATGTGTACGTGGTTCGTAGGGGGGGTGCATCCCACCACACAGAAACATAAGCTTCATACCTGAATGAGCTGACGTATGGCAGAGCCTCGAGCAGAGTCTCACACAGACTGTGGCAGTCAGGCTTCTCCCTCTCCCAGTGGAGGCAGATTTTAACCTTCTTACTTATCTTCTGCAGGACTGTCACTGCTCTTTCAAACAGCTTTCTTTCCCCCTCCACTGGAAGGTGCAACTGATTTCCATCAAGGCCAAGTAAGGTGATGTAGTCCATCTCCCCTTCGCTGAGAAGGAAGATCTCCCACAGCTGCCTTGGCAGAGAATCACACCTGCAATATGAAGAATAATCAGCTATCGTTTCCTCATTACTTCTCTATATATATTAAAGGTTACAACTTTGAACAATTAAATTTGACCTAATTAGATGTGTTGTAACGTTAGCAGTAATAATAACTGCTCATCCATACCATTGGACATTTTGAAGGCATCCTAATAGTGGTCTCATTCCTTGTTGTGATATCGTGACGTCCTCAAGGTTCAGCCATATTTTCCTCTCCTTAGACTGAGTGATCACATAGGCCACAGCACAGCAGGGGTAAGGATCGAGACTCTCTTCACTGAGGTCAAGGTGGAAGTCCAGTTTTTCCAGAAGGTCGATGCATGCTTCAGGACACTGGGACTCATACAAGCACTGGCATATGAACAGTATGCGCCCACTGTCCTCAGTATCAGGCTCATCGTTTCCACACAGACTAGGAAGGAATGTGGATATCACTTCCTTGAAGAACCAGTTTGATGTATTCTTGAGCTCCTCAGCAGGAATCAGATACTCCATCAAACTAGGGCTCTTCTCAGTCAACAATCTACACATGTAAGGGATCAGATGTTTCATGTGTTTCTTCTCCTCAGTGAGGCACTGCTGAAAAACATTACTGATTAAATCTGGATTCTTCAAGAGCCACAGTGCTGCGAAAAACTCCTGCATTGTGTAATGGAGAAATGCATAGGTGGTTATTCTCTCAGTAGGGGCGACTTTGATAGCAAGTGATTTGAGCAAGGAGAGGACACAGCTGTCTCCAGAGGGACGTAGTGTCAAGTTCACAGTTTTTCCTTCAGTTGCACAAAAAGCAACCTCAGCCAGAGACAGTATCTCCTTACTCTTGCTTTCGATGAAGGCATCTAGATGAATGTATTTGGTGCTGCTGTTTCTTTCAAGGCAAAAACGGAAAATGTTGATGTAGATATCAGTTATACAGCAAGGCTTTTGAAAGTCCTCTGATGTCTCAAATGAAAAGCATGCGGCCACCATCAGTGCATACATCGGTACATGGCAAAGCGTTAACAACTCCACGTTGCTCAACACCCTCTCCTTTCTTTCACGTAGCATCCTAGATATGTATGTTTTTATGGTCTGCTCACTAAAGCCTTTCACTTCCACTCTGAGAAAGTCCTCAGACAGAAGGTGGTCTTCATCAGCTGGTCTGCAAGTCAAAACGACCTTGGAGTCCTGTAGCCAATCTTTATTTACAAGTTTCTGCACTACTGGTGAAGACAGATCTGTGATTCCATCAAAAATGAGTGTAACATTGTCAGAGTTATTCTTTATGTCCTGTAAGACCTCGTCTTTGCCTTCATCTGGCTCACTGAACTCATTGAAGAGAAGGTCCTCCAGGCTCTTGACGTTGGATATTTTTCTCATGTCAAAGTAAAACATGTAGTTTAGCTCCTTGTCATCTTTTTCTGTCCAGAGTTTTAATATTTCATGAGTGAGTGCTGTCTTTCCAATCCCAGACTTACCAACCAAGAGTATGTTTTTATCTGTTTTAAGCAGGTCACTGGGAGAAATGTCTGCTTTGTCCTTAGGGATGTAGGTCCCTAGCTTTTTAGAACGGCTCATCTTGCTTTTCTTGTTCTTACATTTCTTTATTTTAGAGGGAGAATCACTTCCTTGTGTGTCCAATACAAGTGACATGTACGACAGATCAGGCTTGCTGTTTTCTTCAAACAGATCTTTGTTTGCCGTCCAAAAGTCCTTTGATATTTTTTGTGCTTTTGACTTCAACTTTGCCTGGTAACGGTGGCACGGTGTTGGGGCTAAAATAAAAACAACAGTGAGTAAGTCAATACATATTGTAAATTGCATGCTGTACCCTCATACTAAATAGTGGATGGATATTTCCAGAGGACACAGCCCATCAAACATCAGCATGAAGACGTGACAAACTTTCTATATTAATTATATAACTATATATTACATACCTTGTAGGTAGTTTTTTCCCATTTCTGTGTCTTCCTTGAAAGGGAAGCAGCTGATCCAGTGGTGCAGGTCAAACGTCCTGCTCTCAGCAGAAGCTACAGTCTGTTTCTCAGGGAGAAGAGATGTCCTCCCATGGGTCCTCTTCCTTGTTATGTCAATAATTTTGAGGAATTCATAGCTGGCTGCTTCCCCCTTTTTGGTTACAGAGTCTAGAAGTGTTCTGTTTTTATCATAGTCATTCCCTTCTGCTTGTATTCTGCTGACTTCTTCATCGCCTAACACTCCTTGCTGATTCAAGTTCTCTAGAATCACTGACAGATTCTTTAATGTGTTCACAAGATGGCGTCTGGCCCTCCTGATGTACTCTACAGCTGACTGTGTTGTAGAAGCCATGTTTCATTACTTCGGTGTCTTCTGCTTCAACTTCAATGATCTAGAGAACAAAATAATGGTTTAATGAAATGTAATATGAACTCTTATGTTTAACATCCAAAAAGATACATAAATCTGTACATCTAAAAGGAGTAAAATAGATTCAGGGCAGATGACAGCAGGGTGGGAGGTTTGGCATTAATGATACAGTTTGGCATTAATGATACAGTTTTTCTCATTGGCTCACTTCTTTAAACAGTCTTGACCTTCTCTTAACTCTATGTGCAATGGTTACAACTTTTTCATCACAACTCTTTTGCTCGTATGAAAATTAAGTAACTCACACAAAACATTGAATTCATGCCAACAAGTTGTTATTGTGTCAGTAAACGTGCAAATACAAACAAAATGGATAGCTGTTTTGTCCCAGTGTGAACAGTACTAGTCAAAACAGTAAGATGCTTTTTCACCACCAGTCAACACTTGAGATGTTCTAACATACAAGTCTCTGAACATATAAATCATCCATACATGTCACCAACAATACAACATTAAACGACACCAGAACACATTGTAAATAGAAACATGCAAGCTGTATATCAGAGACACTTACACTGAGGCCTTTAAGGCCGCTATACACCCACCTGAGACCAAAGAACGCGTACCGAAGGCGTCCCGACTTTTACGTCAGCTTCGTCGCCTGCGTCGGCTACGTCGCCCGCTACGCCGCCCGCCTACGAACACACCGCAAATACTTCAGTCGACGAGTGGCAATAACTGTCCTTACCAGCAGGCAGCGGTAGTGTGTATTCGTCATTCAAAAGAGGCAACAACCGGAAGACAGACTGCCTTTTATACACCAAGAGAAGAAGAACAGACTGAGTGATATAAACAAACAAACACAGCGTCTGGGTTCCATTTTCACTCTCTCTCGTCGATCGAAAACATGTATCGTACGGTACTGGCGTTATCAGCAATTGGAGTGTTGCTTGCGGCTGCAGAGATTAAGAAGCGGAAGCGAAAAATCAGGAGAAACCGCACTAAATGGGTGAAAACATGGATACTACAGCAAAGAAGCTCACACCACCAATAATCCAGCTCGAACCAAGCAGCACAGGGATGAACTATGCCAATATTTTAACGGTGTCGGTGCAGTGCCTTTTCAGTGGGATAAGATATAGCAAATATGTCTAAAGAACTGTACAATGTCAACAATCGACTACAATACGATAAAAATAGTGTGTAATACAATAAAAAAAAAGAGTTTGCCAAATATGTCTAATGCTGTGTTATCAATGGCTGTAGTATCAAGGTACGAAATAAAGTTTTGTATTGCCTATCCAGCTATTTGTGTTTATTCTTTTAATCACACAGCGTTAATAAAAAATGTGCCTACATAACTGCCAGTAGCAGCCGCACATTATTATTGGTTTAACTACTAACTAACAGCTACAATGTTGGGAGAAAGAATAGAGGGGCAGACAGAAACACTCATCTGAATAATGGCCACTTCTTGCAAAATGTACATTTCCATGTGATGCTCACAATAGGTACATGAACAATGAACAGTGGTAGACAGTAGCTCATTTACTTAGGCACTGTACTTAAGGACAATCTTGAGGTACTTGAGACTAATCCTGCAACTGTATACTTCTGCTCCACAACAGTTTGAGAATGAAGAAACCATCACGTATGAAAGGTTACATGTGAATAGAGGGGGCAGAAACAGTCTTGCAAATGTACATTTCCATGTGACGCTCACAATAGGTAAATGAACAATGATCATGCATCAGTAATTATAATCAATGATATATAAATAACACTGACAGGCAAATGATGTATCATCATGTACATATCATGATGTATCTGACTTTTATTGTAGTTGTTACGGTTTTGTATTTATGTTTTCATTTTCCACCTTTTGTTTTGAAATGTTTTCCTCCTTGTGTCTTCTCTGTTCCTTCTTCCTGTGTTTGCCTTCCTGTCGTTAGTTTCCCTGGTGTGTCTGATTGTCTGATTGTGTTCACCTGTTGCCCTTGTGTTTCTGCCTCCCTTACCCCAGCTGTGTCTTGTCTTGTGATTACCCCTCTCTGTATTTAGTCTTGTCTTCCCCTGTGTGCCTTGTCGGTTCATTGTTGGTTTTTCCTGTCTCCCTCCATGTCAGTCACGGTCAGTTTTGTTTGTATTCGCTATCTATGTTTTTTCATGCCATGTTTTTTGTCATCAGCTTTGTAAATAAAGCTCGTTTTTGTTTATAGACCTGTTACCCTTTTTGTAGTCTGCATTTGGGTCCTACCTTTTGTCGAACCTTAACAGAATGAACCGACCAGCTTTGGACTCAGCAGACTCGGATCGTTTTGCTCTACAGGGAGAATGTCTTGGGTACTCTCTGGAGTACATTTTTTATACTTGGAATGGCGCCTCTTCTAGACGTGGTAGAGAGGCTGCGTTGAAGGAGGCACGTCAGGAGGTTGCTCGCCAGCCTTGGCTTAGGAGCATGTTGCCTGAGTGGCTACAACTTTTCACAAGTAGTCCTGAGGACTTGTCCGAAGCCTCTAACCCAGGGGTACTCAAACTTTTTTATTAAAGGTCCAGTTGTGAACTTTATACAAGGTCACTGGTCCGGATCAATGCCAGTAAAGCCCCCCCCCCCCCCCCCCCCCAGAGCGGAGAAACGAAACTGAAATTAAGAAGCAGTTTCTTGGCGCTCTATGCATGGAGTTTCCCAACATGTCGTTGCAGTAAATTAAAGGGTGTTTTATGTTGTCGTTGCTGTGGACCTTCTTAATCTACCTTCTATGGGGGACCCCTTCTGGTCCAAGCACTTGCCTGCCTTGCCTGCCTTGCCTGCCTTGCCTGTCGGTAAACGGCGCCCCTGTATACACACACTCAATACATACATACAGTATGTCAAGGTAAACTTGCGGTTAACTTGCGGTCTGCTATGCACACAAGTAAATATATATGCACGTTCATTCTCACAACGCGTCAGACACAAGACGCGCGTACATGATGATGTACATTAATTTATCATTATCAGAATCTTTTTTTTTTTTTTTACATTTTTTTTACATTTTTTATAATGGGACACAGGGTTCGGTCCGGATTGATTTGCAGTTCGGTCCGGATCCGGACCTTGGTCCGGAGTTTGAGAAGCCCTGCTCTAACCCTTTCCTGGGGTATGACCAGGCCTGGGGAGGCCCACAGATCCTCCAAAGAATCTCTAGGAGACGCAAGACCAAGATTCCAGCCCGTGCTCCAGTGGTTCCAGCTCCAGATCTGGCCCCAGCAGCCGTTGTTCCGGCTCCAGATCTGGCCCCAGCAGCCATTGTTCCAGCCCCAGTTCTGGCCCCAGCAGCCATGGTTCCGGCCCCAGTTACGGCCCCAGCAGCCATGGTTCCGGCTCCAGTACTGGCTCCCCGGCCGACGCCAGGCCTCCGTGTTTTGTCAGTGGTTCGGCCCACTCCAGCCCCTCGTGTCCTGTCGGTGGTCCGGCCGACTCCAGCACCTTGTCTCCTGTTGGCTCTCCGGCCGACGCCAGCCCCCCGTGTCCTGTTGGCTCTACGGCCGACACCTACCCTATGTCCTGTCCCGTTGGGGGTCCCGCCGACTACTCTTCTGCCGGGGGTCCTGCCAACCCTATGTCCTGTGCCGTTGGAGGTCCCGCCGACTACTCTTCTGCCGGGGGTCCTGCGAACCCTATGTCCTGTGCCGTTGGAGGTCCCGCCGACTACTCTTCTGCCGGGGGCTTGCCAATCCTATGTCCTGTCCCGTTGGGGGTCCCGCCGACTACTCTTCTGCCGGGGGTCCTGCCAACCCTATGTCCTGTGCTGTTGGAGGTCCCGCCGACTGCTCTCCTGCCGGGGGTCTTGTCAACTCCATGTCCTGTCCCATTGGGGGTCCCGCCGACTACTCTTCTGCCGGGGGTCTTGCCAATCCTATGTCCTGTCCCGTTGGGGGTCCCGCCGACTACTCTTCTGCCGGGGGTCCTGCCAACCCTATGTCCTGTGCTGTTGGAGGTCCCGCCGACTACTCTTCTGCCGGGGGTCTTGCCAACCCTATGTCCTGTGCCGTTGGCAGGACCCTCAGCAGAACCCCCAACTCCACGTCCAGTATCGTTGGGGGTCCTGCCGACACCTGTTCCGCTGTGGGTCCTGCCAACCCCATGTCCTGTCCCGTTGGGGGTCCCGCTGACTACTGCTCCGCCGGGTTTCCTGCCAACACCAGATCCTGTCCTGTTGGGGGTCCCGCCGACACCTGCTCCGCCAGATTTCCTGCCTACACCATATCCTGTCCTGTTGGGGGTCCCGCCGACACCTGTCCCGCCGGGTGTCCTGCCAACTCTGTGTCCTGTCCTGTTGGAGGTCCCGCCGACACCTGTTTCACCGCGAGTCCTGCCAACTCTGTGTCCTGTTCTGTTGGGGGTCCAGTCGACACCAGCCCTTGCTCCATCCGGGGTCACATTGACACCAGTCCATGTCATGTCCAGGATCCCGTCTACGCCTGTTCCGTCGGCTCCGGTTCCTGTCTGGCCGACAACGGGTCCTGCCCGTCCTCCGGAGTTGTCCCGTCAGCACCTTCCTGCCCGGCCTCCGGAGCTGTCCCGTCAGCGCCTTCCTGCCCGTCCTCCGGAGCTGTCCCGTCAGCGCCTTCCTGCCCAGCCTCCGGTGCTGTCCCGTCGGCGCCTTCCTGCCCGTCATGGCCTTCCTGCCCGTCCTCCGGAGTTGTCCCGTCAGCGCCTTCCTGCCCGTCCTCCGGAGCTGTCCCGTCATGGCCTTCCTGCCCGTCCTCCGGAGTTGTCCCGTCAGCGCCTTCCTGCCCGTCCTCCGGAGCTGTCCCGTCGCCGCCTTCTTGTTCGCCCTCGAGCCCGGCCCCCTGACTCTTCCGGCCGCTGCCTTCGCCCTCGAGCCCGGCCCCTTGGGTTCCCCAGCCGTGGTCTTCGCCCTCGGGCCCGGCCTCCTGACTCTTTCGCCCGCTGTGGCCTTCGCCCCTTTTTGGACTCTGCCTTGCCCCCGGGCTGTCCGCCCGGGTCCCCTTCCGGGCCCGTCCTCCGGACCCCCTCCACCCACCCTTCTAGAGGTTTTGGACTTTTTGGGGTTTTCTTGGGACGTCTGGAATCCGTCCCTTGAGGGGGGGGGTTCTGTTACGGTTTTGTATTTATGTTTTCATTTTCCACCTTTTTGTTTTGAAATGTTTTCCTCCTTGTGTCTTCTCTGTTCCTTCTTCCTGTGTTTGCCTTCCTGTCGTTAGTTTCCCTGGTTTGTCTGATTGTGTTTGCCTTCCTGTCGTTAGTTTCCCTGGTTTGTCTGATTGTGTTCACCTGTTGCCCTTGTGTTTCTGCCTCCCTTACCCCAGCTGTGTCTTGTCTTGTGATTACCCCTCTCTGTATTTAGTCTTGTCTTCCCCTGTGTGCCTTGTCGGTTCATTGTTGGTTTTTCCTGTCTCCCTCCATGTCAGTCACGGTCAGTTTTGTTTGTATTCGCTATCTATGTTTTTTCATGCCATGTTTTTTGTCATCAGCTTTGTAAATAAAGCTCGTTTTTGTTTATAGACCTGTTACCCTTTTTGTAGTCTGCATTTGGGTCCTACCTTTTGTCGAACCTTAACAGTAGTATAGCTAATTGTATCTTCA